CTCATTCACTTTCAATTTCATGTTTTATTTCTTCGCTTTTATCTTCAGCTGTGCTGCTTCTTTTTAATGCTTAACAAAAAATAAAGTTTGAGATTCAGTCCACAGACATTCATTACTTTGAGATTTATTTGCGGTGCAATTTTGATATCACTTTTGACTTTGTGCATTAATGTATGGAACTGAAATGAACGGCAAAATAAGTGCAGCAAGTGAAATTGCATTTGAACTCGATTTTTAATTAAGTTTTGATGCTGATTGGGTTGTCGGTTTGACTATTGGCTTTTGATGTATTGGCAAAGCTTTGCTGACCATTTGTAAGTTGTAATCTAGTCCAAAACTTAATTATTCTTCTCAAATATGCGCTCTTTCCCTTCCATACTCAACAAAATAGTTCAATTCCTTATTTTCCTTTAAATTTCTTCAAGTTGATTTGTGATAATTAATTAATATTGTTAAATGTCAAATGTGAACTATTGCCAGAGAATTTTCATGTTGTTTGCCTTACACAATCACAACATTAATTAAAAAAAATCTCCAATTTACTTTTTCTTTCTCTCTTTCTTCCTCATTCTCTCGTTATGTCCACAAACATATGAAAGTTAAAATCGAACTGAATTGCTTGCCTTGCTTGCTGTTGATTTTAATTTGATTTTTGTCATAAATTAATTCAATCATTCAAATCAATCATGTTATTCGTGTACTTATGTCACTGTGATTTCTTTCATCTATTTCTCTTGATCATTGCTTCTTTTCTTTTTACTTACTGTATGACTGGAAAGATATTTGGTTCAGTAGCAGCGGCAATGCTTAAAATGTAAAAGGAATTTTTCATTAGTTTTATGAGCTTTTTTTGGGAATTTGGAGAATCGATGTTGATGAAGTTTGAAGGTTTAGAAGTTAACAAGATCGTTTGCATAATGACAAGTTCCTATTTTTATGTTCTTCTTCTTTCAAATGTTCTTGAATCAATCCTGTAATTTTGATGATCTTTAGATTAGTTTCCAGAGTTTCAAATCGACTTAATCTCACCTTTTGAACCTCAAAACTAGTTGTATAACCTGAAATTGAAGTTTACAGATCTAATTCGACTGTATTCACTGACTGATTCAAACAAATTTACAATTACAACTGAAATCAAATCAATTTGAGAACAATTCAATGATTTCTGCGATGACATGTAATTTAATAAGAAAAATATTGATTCAACATAGAATGCAAAATCCAGCAATTTGATCCAATTTCCAATAAAATGTTCAACATCACACAGCATGAAGATAAAGAAAGCAACAATATCAGAAAGTGAACACAATTATGTCTTTATTTGAACATGAAAAGTCTTTCAAATGGATTAAAATGTTCATAGACAAAAACAGCCAATTATTAGTCAGCAAAAGTGTACAAAGCCTAATAATAATTAATAGTTCTTGGCAAATACAGCTTGTTTGAGTGATAAAAATCACTCGTACGCCTTATTGAGAGATAAATTTGCAGCTTTTTTGCTTCCTTTTTATTTTACAATTTTTCTTGCACTTTTCATGACTTTTTTTTATGCTGACTGACTTGACTTGAGTCGGTTGTTGATTGGGTGCGAGAAAGGAATAATTAGTATTCTGTTAATGTTTAACACATTGCAGCTACAGATTAAAATTCATTTCTCATTTTTTATTTAATTTCTTGTCTCAAGAAAATTGACTTTAGATTTAATTCGAGTACTAGAGCTGGGGATCCTTTATTATATGCTTTAAAGTCCTGCATTTTAATTTGGGGAGAATTTCTAAGGATCCATTGAAGTTTGTCAATATAATCTTGATCCCAATTCTCAAAGTTCACACTCCTTGGTCTAGTTTCTGCAAGCTTTCCCTAATGTGTCCTTAGAATGATGACAAAAACACACAAATGAAGAAAATTCTATAAACTTAATGCTCTGAAGTCGAAGCTACATAAATAGTTATGGAACAACTTTTATCGCTTTTAATTGCAAATAATAAAATAAAAATTTTAAAGTCGATTTTAACGCATGTAAAATGATAAGCGAATGAATTAATTATCAAGTATTTTGCCTTAGCTTCCTTACAAGCTATGTATCTTCATTTTGTCTTGTAGCCTTCCTGACAGTTTTTATACTAAAGCTCTAAGAAAATTGCAAAAATGAGAAAAAAATGCGCTTCTGTCATAATTTCCAATAGATTTATAACTTTATTCGATATTTATATAACTGAATAATTCAAAGCATCGTCAATAAAAAGGCATTTAACATCACGTGGTGAAAACACACATTGCAGTCACTTTAGCATCTCATGAGACATCAAATTATGTCCATAAGTGTGAAAATCTTGTCCATTAAATCAATAAGCAAACGTAAGTCAAAGAAGGAAATGGAAGAAGAAGCAGAAGCAGGCAGCAGAAAATGAGCTTAATTAGATTGGACATTGATGATAATTTAAATTAAGAAATTTGCATATTTTAACACCTCAGCAATGGACGGTAAACATAAAACCGATGGCTAATTAAGTTCCAACTTGAGATAGAATATTGACTTGACTAATTTGTTGACTATCGAGCATGTCCAAAAAATATTCAAATTAATTCCATTTCAAATTAGATGAGATGAAGAAATGACCACAAAAAATTATTTTTGATGCCTTTAAAAATTTTGTGAATGAATGAATTTCAATGAATGAAAACTGTGCCTGAATATTACAAACCTAACAATGATCATAGAAAAGATATTTTGACATTTTTATCGCATCCAAAATGAACAACAAAAAAAATAAATAAAGAATTTTTAATGCTGATTAAAAGCCAATCGAGAAATAAATGAGAATGAGACTCAAAGAGAATTCGATGACGGTGACACTGTCCATGCATATTGAACAAACACACAAACCGAAAATGGAATGAAAGATCCCAAAATTTACGATCTTTTTCATTCACGCTTGTTCTTCTTACTTGATTTCTTTCTAATTCCTCGTGATATATGTAATGTGATTTGATTGTCATTTTTTGAGGTTTTTTTGGAATATTTCGTAAGGAAATGATAGAAGAATTAGTAAATTTGAAGACTTATGAATGAACAGTCTTTTTTAGAGTTAGAATTGAAGGCTGGATCATTTGTTATAGTTTTTTGGTTTTACTTTTAAGTATGTTTGATTTTTAAAGATTTTGTAAGAATTCATAAACTCGATTATTAAAAATTCCACAATAATTTGTAATTCATGAAAGTTGCATCGATACCCTGAAGTTGCCCTGATGTATACAAAGTAAATCCTTGACCTTTAAATATTCCTCATGTCCAGCAAAAGCGATTAAAATAACTTTGTAAATAAAATTTATAGTTCAAGGTCTCGATTGCTTTTTTTTTATTATTTCCAATGTTCCGGAAAGCTTGTGGGCTTGATTGCTTGAAAGAGATCACGAATTTTAAATAAAATTACCAATTTTTATTGTGGTTAATTCAGAACAAAATTTTAAAGAAATTATTTTACGACAAATCTGGAAATTTATAAAATTTAATTCAAATATTGATTCACGAAGTATTTTAACAAGTCTTAATGTACTGATTAAGAATGCTTAGTAACGGGAAGGTCGTTTGTGAATTGACTCAAAATATATTTCATTAATCTACAATAATTTCAATTCTTAAATCTCCGAAAAGCCACTAAAATTTCTTAATTCCTTTTCATCTTAATAATTGCTATTAAAGTCAAAAGTGTGCTGCACAGCATCGCGTACAAGTCAAGTACAACTTCATTTACACTTTATAAAGTTCGTCAGTCGTACATCTACACAACATCAACGATACTCGACACTTGACTTGTTAAATGAAATCTCGATCAATATAGAAACAACAGTGAAGATAGAAAGAAGAATAAGAAGCAAGAAGAGAGCCTCAAATGAACTAAAAAGAAATTCTCATAAAGGAAGTCGTAAAAATACTAAAAAAGTAAATAAATTTTCATTTTGATCATAAACATTTTTTTTATTCAAATGAGCAAAAATTGATGACACTTGAGAGTGAATTGGACACCCAGAGCGTGCTTGCTTTTGCTTACTGTTGAGCATCAATATACTGTCGAAAATAAAAAGTTAAAACTTAAGTGCTCATTTAAATGATCATTGGAATATAAATACTTGAGACTATTGCTGATCATTTCACTCGTTGACGATCCATTTTTGGATGGGTTTCTTGAATATTAAGATATTGGATGTTATTGAATGATTTATAGATTTTTAAAATGAATTTTTGAGGTTAGATTAAACAAATTATTTTTTTAAGGTTAATTTTTTGAAACTTGATTAGGGGCCGTTCACTTATTGGATCATGGATTTTGTGACAGTTCAAACAATGGAAATTTTTTTCTATAGAATTTTGGGAAAGAGGGGGGGGGGGGGGGGGGGTTTAAAAATCAGGTTTTTTGATGGACGTCATAAGTGAACGACCCCTTAATTAAAATTCAAACTTAAAACCAAAGCTTCGTGTCACAGATACAAGTGACAGATCTGTCAAATCTGCTTACAGATCTGTGCCTGTGACAAATCGAAACTCTGCTTTAAACAAAAAATAATTAAGTTTAATACAAAAAATCTAATTTTAAAAATCCAAAAATTTCAATATTTAAAATTTATTAAAATTTTAAAAGCTATTCACACATTTCATAGATCTTATCTAAATCCATATAAAGCAAATTCTTACCATAAAAATCACACACAAAGCAAATTCCAATACCAAATCAATACCTCATGTTCATCTCATCAGCAAATACTTTTCCATTTACTAACGGAATTTCTTTAATGCTTTGTGGCTTATGCATCATAAAATGCAAAAGAATGCAAAATATTTTTTTCTTCTTCTCTTTTTTTTCATGCAGAAATGTCAAGTGCATTTTTCCACTTCTCATCCATTCACATCTCAAACTATTTAAATATGATTTATTGTCTATGAATGGTAAATATTTAGGATTATTGTATGTGCAATGAAATGACACAATAGTCAATGCATTGAAGGTCTTTAAAAGGCTTTTAAAAAATTTATAATGAAGAGTTGCTGTTATCTGATTATCAAGTGTGAATATGATTCATCCAAAACTCTTTTCTTCTCAGCAATTCCTTCGTCCCTTAATATTAGATAATCCATGCATTACGATAGTCGACATCCTTCTCGTTCACCATATTTACTACTAATTTCAGGAAGAGCAACATTCAACAGAAAATTCACTCCTTCCTTAAAACCAGGTTGACGTGTTGGTCTATTTGTTTTGACTCCATTTTTATGAACCAAAAATGCATTTGACAAGACATTAAAGTTGTAATCCATAACGCACATTGTGTATGCTTGTGACATTTTATCAGAGCTTCTTTCGTATGTTATTCGATCATCAAACAGTGGATCATTGTTGGTGCCAACATAAAACGGTTCCCAATGAAAGAATGGACCTTGTCGTTTTGCTGTTGTAATGACTTTCATGCTGGTATAGTCTGTGTCATTTAACCAAAGTTCTACACCAGGAATCATGTGACATTCTAAGCATATATGACTATGGAACAAGAATACTTTTTGTTCGTTGACTAATTTTATTAAATCTTGTTTGATGTCTGGAATTGTCTCATTAGTTAAAACCTCGAATACTGCAAATACGAAGACACTGAAATTAAACATGAGATTAAGATCCCCGTAAATAAGTTTAAAATATTTCTAAAACTTACTTCTTTTCTTCCATCCATTTCCCATCCTTATCATCAATAATCATTTCAAAAAATTGATCCACAAAGTTTGGATTCGGATATAATTCAATATCACAAGCGAACACAAAATAAGTTGTAGCTGCAGTTCTTGCAATATTTCGAGCAGCATTGATTGGATAACTTAGTTTATTTTTAATTCTATAAGTCTCATTTTGGTGAACTTTGAGGAACTTTGCAGCATGAGAGCATTTTAATGTGGCTTCAAGTCTTTCATAAAGTGTCAGTATGTTGTTCTCATTGTACTCCATTCTATCGAAAAAGATGTGGAACGAAACATATTCCTTAACTAAATCCGTTGCAGCATTGCAATTCCTAAGATAAAAGATCACATTCATGGCTGACATTAAATCACTTCCAGGAGAATAAACAGCAACACTCATCGGTGCTCGCCACCTTTTAATCACAGGAATAATATTCTCAAGGAATGTAAATTCTCCTTGTGTTGTGTATGTGATTGACTCGTGACATTCAAAATATTTTGATGCTTTAATGTAGTTTTTAAGGATTAAAAATTTGTCAGTTTGAATAATCTCGATTGTAAAGTTTTTGTTATCACAATTGACTATAGTTCTGGAAAAAAAAAATTGTTCTTGGTAATGATTTAGTAGTTCAATATCTGAGAGTTGTTCTAGAACTTAGCATCTAACTCAGGAGTTCTTAAACTACTGTTTTGCAAGAAAATCCTGAGTTTTTCACTATTGGTAGCTATTGTAATGGATATTGAACAAGAAATCACTGTTTCGAGGTTAGTAAAGTTTGAGAATCGATATTCGAAGTTGCTGGAACTGGGAACTCGACCATACAAACTTAGAAAACATTCATCTTTGAATGTAATGATAATTGTGAGGATGGGATTATATCCAAAGATCTACATTGAAAAATTCTAATTTTGAGCTAAAGTTTCTGACTATTTCTTCTTTTTAAGTTGAGCAAGCATTCAGGAACTTAACAACTGCATCGTTTTAGTTTAGAAATAAACTATTTACTTACTTTAGTTGCTCCGCTACAGAAATTTCTACATTCAAATCTATGTCTGAATCAGAATCAACCGAGAATGGTTGAAAAATTATGTAAATAATTCCAAAAATCACAATAGCGAGAAGTGCTCCAAACTTGATGTTAATTCTTATGAATTTTGTAAAAGATTGAGATTGAGCAATCTTTGTCTTAGTCATCATCATTTTCTGAAGCTGAATATTATCCATTTGCTGTATAATTTTTGGCTGCGACTAGTTTTCACTCAAAAGTTTCAATTTAAACTGAGCTTTACTATAGCATTTAAAACTTTACTACATTTTTAACTGTCACGATTCTGTAAAGTACATAAAGTTTCGTTGACAAGAAATCGTAAATTATTTTGTAAATTAGTAAAGTTACTAAATCTTGATGAGTAAATAGAAAAAGTTTATTTTTGCAAAAGTTTCCTTAAAATGGATATTCGGAGTTTAAAGTTTCAATCTTACAAATAAGTTCAGTGTTAATGTAGTTCTGTAAATTGGGTCATTACTTGCAGAATCCTGTCAAATATATTCAACTATTATTCCTAATCTTTAATAATCTAGATCTAAGTTTTATATTCCTTGTATTATCAAGCACAGACCTAGCTCTTTGATAATTAGTGCAAGACTCATAACCACCACGGATTTTCCACGAAAAGCGTCAAGAAAGTAAACAAGGATTAAATTCACCTTCTTAATTAATTCCTTAATCTCAATTAAGATAAAATAAAAACTGACTATGTGACTTTTAGCATGACTTACAGATTTAAATAAATTTTTTATTCACTTTTCTTTCATAATTGAAATTTTTTTATCCTAATTAATCAATCTTAAAATTAGAGTTTCTCGTTAAAAAATTAAACCTAATTTTTTTGTTAAATTACGATTACTTTTATCACAATTTTTACGCGCTCAAATGATTTTTATAGCTTTTTTCCTTATTTGTCACACATGACAAACGTAATCATTACTTGAGATATTTTTTGCAGTACTTTTACTATAACTCTCGTAACTTGGAAGCTTTCCCATAATATCATCATATGTAGGAGGATTGTCAGGAATTGCTTGTGGTTCTGTTATCTGTGAATTAATGAATCGTAAATTATCTTAATTAATTTGAGTAAAATGTGACTTTTAAATGCAAAAAGTCGCTTATCATCATTGACGTCAATTGGCATAAACTTTTTTAAGAAGCACAACTTTTGTGGATTAAAAGCTTTAAAGAATTAGCTGTATCATCTAATTGAAATGCAAACACATTCTTTTTGGGGTTACTTTTCTATGCTTATCTCTCAATATCATTGATAACTTATCTCTTATTGACTTGGAACGTGTGGTCACTTCTTTTTGTTTCTATTCTGAATATTTATAGAAAAGGCGTGATGATAAGGATTAAATTATGAAGATAGGAGATTTAGTCATTGGTATTTTACGTCAATTACTAATTATTTCAATTAAAAATCAATTTGTTTTAATAGATTAGAAGATAATTCAAGGAATTTTGCTATCTTTGAATTATTAGTTTAGCAAACACATGTTCCTGATTACGTATTAATAGACTTTAAACTTGTAAACACCAACAAAAACAGTTGAGAATGAAATAGATTATTGCAATATTAGCCTTTTATTTTTGACCCTAATGTAGACCACGACCCCTTACTATAAGCATGATCAACACATCTAATTTCTAAACAGGAACTGTCTGACGGCAAGATGTAAGATTTGCCACAGAATCCTTGAACCAAAATTGTTCTTCAAATATCAACAAAAGCACTAACAGGAAGCAATTCCGACTACTATTTATCACATTCCAAAAGTTCAACGCACTATTTTCAAAAAAGTCTATCCAAAATCCGCGGAAGATGATTAAGCACTAAGCAGGAAAAAACACTTTTAATCATAAGCTTACCGTATTATCTTCTGAATTGTCACGCCTTCCTTTCTTTGCATGAAATATGATGTAAGTAATGATAACAGTAAAAAATATAACTAGACCTATTGTTGAGATTATAAGGGAAATCAACTTCTCTTTCGCTTCCCATTCCGTATCAATAACATTGACTGTGATGATTAAGGAAAATAGAATACAAAGTAATGTTGAGCCTCCAAGGATCACAACTTTTTTCATGGCACTTTCTCCCATCCGTCGATAAGTACGGACGGGAGTTTGACTGTCTGTACCATTTTCAGCATCATTATTCATGATTATCAAATTATTCTTAAAACTAAACAAAAAGTTTTATTTAATCCATTTTTTCATTGCCCGTCTTTTGCCTTTAAATTCACTTTTTGTACTAAAGAAGTAAACAATGCGTTCGGTATTATTATTGATAGCTCCGCTGTCTTTGTGTTGATGGGAAATTGATAAAAATACACGAAAATTGTCTTATCAAAATTAAGATAAGAACTGCTTTTAGGTGTTTTCGTTAGAAAGTTTTCTGATATGAAATTGATTTTAAGGCAGTGGTTTTCCAAAGGATTATTTTGGTCATCACTTGATGACTTGACTTACTTTTACAGGAGGTTATCAGTTATTTGATGTTTTTGGCTGGTCTGTGATAAATTAAATGGCGACTTTATGTCTGGATTTCTAATTGGTAAGTTGTAAGCAGGAACCCGTTTAACTTGAAAAGCCTTCAACCTTTGATTGTCGGTGCTTTGCCCCGAAGAAAACGATATATCCAAATCACAAAAACAGAATAAAGTTATTTCACAAAATATTTATTTGTACTTCTTTTCAATATGATGAATAATTATTTCGGATATAATCTTTCTGCTCAATTCGATCAGATAGCTAGAATGGGAGCATTATGAATGTAATGAAATGTATTTTTCTACTTTTTCGTATATTGATCGGAAGCGACTTTTCGATCCGCAATCGGGGTAAAAAGAAAGAATAAGAAAAATCTAGCAACTGAGCAACAAAATATGTAAAAAAGTATTTGAAATTCCAATTTATGAGAACCAGTATTTAACAATTGTCTATAGGTTATGTTTAAAACGTTTCCTTGCATTTACTTTTCACTAGTTTATATCTGATCCAGGACCTTTAAACTGATTTATTATTAATAAAAACAATTCCTAAAAGTTATCAATTTGTAGGTTAGTAAAAGAAAATCTACATCCAGTGTCAAAGAACAAAAAAAGCCTTAGTCATCCTCATGGTCGATGACATATTCATTTATTTACCATTAATATCAAAATGAAAAATAATAATCAATTATTTAAATTTAAATCAGCTCTGATGGCTTAACACGTAATATAACTTGGACACTAGTACATGGAAGAAGAGCAACTTCAGTCACAACAACAGTAACAAGTTCAGGTGGCGTAATGTCATATCTAAGATTAAGTGGCGTTAAGTGAGGTATTGATTCCCAATCCTTTAAGTGTTCAAAGACTCCTTTAGAGTTCTTGTTTTTAACTAAAGCATTCGGATCGCCAATCTCATTATAGACAAATGAGTCTGTCTGTACACGTTCACTAAATTTATGAGTTTCACAACAAACAAGAACAGGAACATTGTATGAGTTTGCAATCATTGAGATTTGTGCTGTGCCAACGCGTGACATTACATATCCATTAGCTAACAAAGCATGTGCACCGAGTAAAACTTTTGTTACTTTCGGCATAATAAAACTAATTGCATTTATAAGGACATAAGTGCAACTAATTCCTTCCATTGTTAATGATTTAAGCATCTCTTGTCCTTCATGATCGGGTCGAGAATCTACAACAACAACACTAAATTTCTTATCGCCATCCTTCCATGCCTCTACTAATGATCGTTTGATTAATGATGAGCAGCCATAAGTCAGTATGACATCGTCTTCAGCAATCTTCTCGCGTACTTTTAAGCTTATTGACTTTGCTGCCGTTTCAATTTGTTCGTGAGCATACGTGTCAATTTTATCGATAATTCTTTGTTTTTTCTGTGGAATGAAAATAAATTTTATGGATGAGATATTGCAGCTATTAAGACTTTATGCGTCAATTAGATTGTAAAATGTTGTGTGTGATATTGTGCTGGTTAAAGTCGCTTGAGTGAATTGAAGTATGAGCTATAATTAAGTTTTTAAAAATAAACATTTTATGGATTGATCCTTGCTTAATTGAGGATGGAAATTGATATAAAGTTGTTCATACATGAATGTTGACTTCTAAACCCTTTGAACTTCAATTATTAACAACTCCAAATTGACATTAAAACATTTTCAATCTCTAGATTACAACTGAACTCAAAACCTAGATTAACCCATAACAAACAGAATCCACATTCCTTATCCTGTAATATACAAAAATCCTCTTCGTGCGTAATCAAAAGTCTTAGTTATAAACTTCATAAGCCAATGTTAGGCAGACAAAAGAAAGTGGATTCCTTTACAATCCCCAACAAAGCTTTACTGCCATGCTATTTACGTCATACAGTATCGCTAGACACGCTTCTTATCGAATAAGCAGTTAAGTGCATTGCTGGTCGAATAGGTAAGGCGCTTGGCTCAAATTTGGGATGATAACTCGAAGGTCGTCGGTTCGAATCCAGCCATTTCCAAATTTGTTAATTTTCGGAAGTTTAGATACTTCGACTGCTTAATGTACGAGATCAAGCCATAATTGGGCATTTGGGCAACGTTGGGATTGAGGAACGGATCAGGAACTTGAAGTGTAGCGGGAGAAATAGGAAAAAGAGCTACAAGATTACCTTATAATGGAATATTGTCAGAACGGACCTGAAATGTATCACGTCACGCCCTCAGAAGATTGAAACGATAGCCTGAATTTAATCGAAACCTAGATTTGAAGATTAGAAGCTTGATTCTACGTCACCCATAGTGATATAAAATGCATTTCTAATCAATGTAAAAAGTAAAACATGCATAAATATCAATTCTTCCGGACGGTAACGTCGACAAATAAATAATAACATATGAGGTCTTGTTTGGAATCAAAACATTGATCAGAGCTAAGCATTCATCCAGCACTTGATTTTTATGTAAGCAGTCACTAATGACATCCCTTAAGAACACTTTTAGCTACGAAAATCAAAGACTGCAGCTTAAAAACTCCAATTTTTGATAGACATAATTTGAGAATGACCCAAATGACAATAAATTACTTACATCCTCATCACTTTCATTCGAATTTTCCTGTGACACGAGTACTTTAATATATTTAAGAGCATTAGTCATTGACACTGCATGTGGGCGACATTTCTGAAGGAACTCGACAGCAACTTGAATTTCAGTTTCTAAAGCACGCGAAAAGACTTTTTCTGATGGACAGATGAAGTCAATAATAAGCTGGAAAGAGATGAAAGACGATTAATCATAACTAAGGATTAAAATTAAACCCACCAAGATTAACATAAATCTGACGGTTAAAAAATTAATCCGGTGAGATTAAAATTTAATCTAAGGATTAAATCCACAAAAAAATCAAGCAACTCACAATTTTCATAGCGTTGAGGAATGCATAACAACGCGAATTGCTTCCAACAATCGTATCATTAGCATATTGTGCTCCTAATCTGACAATAGCTGGATGGAATCGACTGTTTGCCTTGATCTTCAAATCACATTTCTCTGTATAAAGGTGCTTGAACAGCCTTACTTTATGTAATGCCGATGATTTTTGTGAAATTGTCGATGTTGGTGATTTTTGAGTTTTTTGATCCTGCTTGACATCCTTAGCCTTTGATTCAGTTGGTGAACTAGTCTTTTTGACAGCAGCTGCTTGCTTATCTATTTTATCTTGTTGCTGTTTAGCTTTTGCAGCTCTTTGAGCCTCTTGAATTGCTCGTCGTTCAGCTTTTGATACAGGCTTTGCCTTTGTTTCTGTCTGTGCTGCTAGCTCTGATTCAGATATGTGAAGACTTTCCATTTTTGCTGACAATTCAATGTCAGAATTCTGTTTGATTATTGCTGGTTTCTGATTCTGTTCTGGTTGTTTAGGAGCTGGCTTTGGACTGTCAACAGTTTTAGTTTTTCCAGCTTGTTTTGCCAATTTTTTAGCTTCACGTTCAGCTTTGACTTGATCACGAGACTTTTCAGTTTCCTTAGCACTTTCGACTTGTGATGATTGCACTTGTTCTGCCTTTTTTACTGGCACTGGAGTTTTTACGGGACTTTCAGGCTTCTTCTGGATCACTTGAGCAGCAACAGGTGCTTGCTCGACCTTAATTTCCTCTTTTACGTCGTCAGATTTCTTTTGAACTTGCTTTTTTGCAGTCTTTTTTGCCTGTCGTTCGGCTAAAACCTGTTCCTTGGACTTTTCTTGCTTCTTATCCATTTCTATTGATTCTGTTTCAATAATTTGAGTTTCGATGATTTTTTGCTTATTTTTCGGTTTTCTCCGTTTACGCTTTGCTGCCTAAAAATATAGAATTAACTTATTACTGCCAGTCATACAAAAGTATTACTGTAAATTGCACTATATTTATGAAATCAATGATTTTTCTGTAAATTCTCTTAACCTTTTTCAAATTTTGATTTTCTTCCATTTTTGCGAGCTTATTAAAAGAAATTTCAAAACTTAATTAACATATACAGATTGTTTATGACATTATTAATGCAATAAAACAGCTGTAATACTTACTTTTGAGCAGGAACCTTTAGAAATCGTAGCTTAAATAACAAGTATGCAGTTCAGTCAATAATAATGATGACAACAACAAATCGATGACGATATTAATGATTATTTTCTAGCAGTCTGTTCGTAACGACTGTAAAGTTTATTTTAATCAATTTTGATTTATTTATAAGTCAGTCAACTTTGTTCATTTAATAAAGTTTCCGAAATTTCTTATTATGCTCGTTTATTGATGTTAATTTTGCTTACCGGTTGAAATTTGAAAAATATGTAAACAAAAGATCTGCTGAATTGCTGAATTGAACTAATTTTGAATTTTAAAAACCCGTTGAAACAGAATTGGTCAAAAAATCAAAACATCACATAAAGTCTTCATGAAGAACTGATATACATACAGCAAGTCACAACTTAAACATCACGGGCACATGCACTAGTAAACCATAACAACCTTTAGAAAGTCTAGAACTCTAGTCTGAATATAAACACGACAAAGTTATTACAAATTTCTTTTTGTGGTGTAAACTTTTTAATTTTTAATTATATTAAATTATGTGGACACGAAATTTTGCTATCATTTTGTTCCTTCACGTAGTTTTCACCCAAAATGTAACAGATAATGCTATTAAGTCAATTAGCAAAATCAGTAACATAACATATAATGAAAGTAATAAATTGATAACACAGCAACAGATAAGACAAGTTCCTCAAAATAATACGGCAAATGTGAAGGAGATCGATGGAAATAGCAATAAGCATGACCCACCGATACATTCAGCAATTAATCAATCAGTCGATTTAAATGCTGACGAGTTCGATTTTAAATATTATTGGTTCTTGCTTGTGGGATCGAGTGTGGCGATTCTCGGACTTATTGTCTTTAAAAGTTTTCGGTGAGTAAGCAGAAAATTGCATTGTTGTTTGGGAAATTTCATGACTTCATTATTTTCTGGATGTTGAGTTGGACTTTGGATTTAAGTTTTTAATCCACTGGTTTAATATTTTAATCCTTGGATTAAGATCTAGAGGTCAAGTTTGAAGATTGCCAATCAATTGTTAAGCCTCTCAAACCACAAACTTACATGTCAATTCATCAATTTTAGCATGAGAAGATCGAGAGCGGTAGTTCGGTACGGAAAGGCAAATGAATCAGACGAAATAGAGCCATTGGGATCAAGTACGTCGAAATGGGATGAAGACTCGTCCGAGAACGAGGATGAGATTTTCGATATAAATTTCCTGAAAAATACACGCTTGCAAAAACACAGCGATAATGTCTGAAGCGAACGAGAGACTACGTAAAAAGTGCTGATAGTATATGTAAGGGCATACATATTAATAAGCTTTAAAAAAAATTCCCATTTTCTGAATTTCTCATCCATCCACTATGGGGCAAAATGAAAAAAAAAGGGACTTTCACTTTGAAAAATGGACTTTTCCGATTTACACTTTTTGGGTGATTTTTTCTTGTAGAGGACATAAAAGTAGATAGAAATGCCAAATTTCAGGTCATTTGGTGCTGATTTCGCGATTCTAGAGCTGTTTGAAGTTGAAAACTAGTGAAAATTCTGGTTTTTTCATACCATGTTTGAACCGGGAAATATCTTAACTGGTTTAAGATATTGCAAAACGGTTTTCAGTTCCTATTAGTAGTATATAAGAGCTTTATTTTGACATATAACAAAGTTTAGGTTCTGAATGTTTTCGTGCCATTATGGTAGAACATATGTGAAAATTTCAGGAAAATTATCTTCAAACAAGCCGCAACTATCATAAATGAAGAGTTTCCAGGCAAGTAAAAACGCAGTTTTGTAGCCCCATATATCTAGTTTTCAAAACTGTATAAACTTTGAAAAAGTAAGCTAACGTAATTGAGTTATGTTGATTTTAGTAGGTCGTTGAGTATTTGGCCAAAAACTAATAATTCTTTTAAAAATACGAAAACATAGTTTTAAAAATAGTTTTTTGGTGTTTTCTTATGAAAAATAACAATTTAAATGATTTTGTGAAGAAAATTTTTCAAAAACTTCAAAATCTTTCGAGATATAGGGGGTATGTGCTCTCCATCGATTTGGCCATTTGTCACCCTACTTAAACCACTATAACTTTTTTTTGAAAAAATATTTTTTAATTCTGTTTTCGGATTATTGTAGCCTAATGTAATACCTATCCAACGATATATAATACTTGCTAGTTAACTTAGTCCTGGTTATTTATAGGGCTGTTGATTGTGACATACGCAGTTTTTGAAATATTCCCAAAAATTGCATTTTCAAAAATACCACTTTTAAGCAATCTCGAGTATTTTTTTAGAACTTTTTTATGTTTATTTATGACATTTATGAGATTATAAAGCCAAAAAATTAAATTTAGAAACTTTTTACTTCCCTAGTTAACAACTTTGTAAAGTACCCTTGGTAGTCACTATCAGGTGTGAAAATCTCAGTTTTGAAACTATTTTATATATATACTCGTGAAATTCTCTCTACACATCATATCAGTTTTGAACTTCATTGAACAAGTCACTTTCAAAAATGAACCAAAATTCAACACTTACGAAGAAAACACTCTGTGAAATTCTTCGCGACAAAACGTTAAATCTTGCAACACAGCACACGTACTGTTTGGCAGTAATAGAAGAAATTCATGGGAGAGAATTAGCGGAATCACAGAAACCAAGTTTAATTAATAAATTAAACAAGCTGAAGTCAAAGTCAAAAATGTTTTGTAATCAGTCAAATTGGAATAATGCATTAAGAGATCATGCAGATTTCTATGAAGAGGAATTTGAAGTTGACTCACGATACTTCAGCGAATCTAGTGGAGGGATTCTTTTTGAGGAAGAATCTATATATGAAGCAGAAAATGTTACTGACACAGATGAAGATATGGATGAGATTGAATACATCGTCCATGACATAGAGCCTTCATCCAGCAAGGGCATCAAGAGGAAATCATTTGAACAACTAACAAGCGATAAGCATCGACGTAGAAGAGTGGACGAATTAGATATCAGTTTAAAAGAAGCAAAAGGATCATTGTTATCAGTTCTTCACTTGGCACTTCGCCTTTCTAAAGAAGAAGGAAAAGTAGAAGGAGCTAAAATGTTAAAAGAATTTATTAAGGCGTGCCAAAAAGGAGAGGATCTTCCAGAAAAAACTACATCAAAACCTAAACAACTAGATATACATGTAGCTCTAGGTGTAAAAGCCTTTAACAATTTATCTCGAAATCAGTACAACAATATTCGACAAGTCCTGAAACTGGAATGCGAAAACGTTTTACCGACAGCTAAAAAATTGTTGAGGTTAGAGAAACAATGCTATCCTGATGACATAACGGTCACCGATACAAGAGCCGTTATTCCACTAAAAAATTTGACACAACTCACCACAAAAAGAGTTATTGAAGCACACAATTCAGAAATATACGACAAAATCAAAATATTACCTTCAGAATCAACTCCAAAAGTTATTCATGCAGAAATGATCGTCACATGGGGGATGGACGGAACAACAGGACAGTCACAGTATAACCAAGGAAAAACAAATTCAAGAAATCAAGAACGAGATAGAACACAACCGAATCAAACGACTAATAATGAAATTATAGAAGACAAATCACTATTGACAGTTAGTATGAGTGTTCAGCAACTACGACATGAAGACGAAAACGGAAATTATATCTGCTTATGGGACAACGAAAACAGTCAATCTGTATACTCAGTACGACCAATACAACTTGAACATGCCAAAGAAACCAGAGTAAATGTTAGAAGGATATATGAAGATATAAAAAATCAAATATCAAAACTTGAACCACAGAGATTAAGAACACTTGTATTTCAACACTCAGCCACTTCATACATCAATGAACGTACTCACGACTCTATATGATTTGTCATATAAACAATATGTTCAAAAACACTGGCTGGAGATAACTGAAGAGGAACAGATTGTTTTAGATGTTGAAAAGGCTAGAATAAAGCAAGCAATGTGGGATGCATTTAATGTTCGTGTACTCGAACCAAGACAAGGGGGAGCTGGATCATCAGATACAGGAAACGTTGCAAGAAAAGTTCTTGAAAATCCAGAGCTTCTAGCTAAAACTCTATATCTTAATGAAGAAATAATTAAACGTATATGCTATGTGCTAAACCAAATTCGAAGTTTAGAACCAGTTGATGATCTAGATGAATTTGATAGGTACTGTAAAGAAACATACAGAATGTTTTTGACAACATATAGTTGGTTCAAAATACCAGTAACACTTCACAGAGCACTTGCTCATGCAAAACACTACATGGAAGCCTTACCATTACCTCTAGGAAGAATGAGTGAAGAAGCCGGGGAGTCACAAAACAAATATCTCAGACAAGATAGAGAACTACGTGCCAGAAAAACTTCAAGAATACACAGTTTTACGGATGTTATACATAGAAGACTCTACAGTTCTGATCCAGTAATAATAAAAAAATATATGGATGTAATAAATAAAAGGTTAATGAGAAAAAATGTCCAAGAAGAAGGTGAAACACCTGAGCAACAAACAGAAAATGAGGAAGAAGATGAGGAAGAAATTGAATTGATTGAGCCAGAAGGAGAAGGTTATGACTTTTCCCAAGCAGAAAACTATGATTATTCCGAAGGACAAGACCATGAATATTCTGAAGAAGCAAACAACGAATGAATAAATAAATTTCATTAAATATGATAAAAAAATGTAAATTAAATTTCTTGACAAATAAACAAAATTTCATTAAACTAAAAATTAAACTTTATTAATTTTACCTATTATAGTTGCGTATCAGAGTATTTTTTTTATTACTCTAATGATAATAGCTTTTTTCAGACTTAACATTTCTTAAAAAAGTCCAAAAAATACTCGAGATTGCTTAAAAGTGGTATTTTTGAAAATGCAATTTTTGGGAATATTTCAAAAACTGCGTATGTCACAATCAACAGCCCTATAAATAACCAGGACTAAGTTAACTAGCAAGTATTATATATCGTTGGATAGGTATTACATTAGGCTACAATAATCCGAAAACAGAATTAAAAAATATTTTTTCAAAAAAAAGTTATAGTGGTTTAAGTAGGGTGACAAATGGCCAAATCGATGGAGAGCACATACCCCCTATATCTCGAAAGATTTTGAAGTTTTTGAAAAATTTTCTTCACAAAATCATTTAAATTGTTATTTTTCATAAGAAAACACCAAAAAACTATTTTTAAAACTATGTTTTCGTATTTTTAAAAGAATTATTAGTTTTTGGCCAAATACTCAACGACCTACTAAAATCAACATAACTCAATTACGTTAGCTTACTTTTTCAAAGTTTATACAGTTTTGAAAACTAGATATATGGGGCTACAAAACTGCGTTTTTACTTGCCTGGAAACTCTTCATTTATGATAGTTGCGGCTTGTTTGAAGATAATTTTCCTGAAATTTTCACATATGTTCTACCATAATGGCACGAAAACATTCAGAACCTAAACTTTGTTATATGTCAAAATAAAGCTCTTATATACTACTAATAGGAACTGAAAACCGTTTTGCAATATCTTAAACCAGTTAAGATATTTCCCGGTTCAAACATGGTATGAAAAAACCAGAATTTTCACTAGTTTTCAACTTCAAACAGCTCTAGAATCGCGAAATCAGCACCAAATGACCTGAAATTTGGCATTTCTATCTACTTTTATGTCCTCTACAAGAAAAAATCACCCAAAAAGTGTAAATCGGAAAAGTCCATTTTTCAAAGTGAAAGTCCCTTTTTTTTCATTTTGCCCCATAGTGCCATCATTAAATGATTTCCTTTCTTTATTTTAAGTGATTTTTGTTTCTGCTCTGCTAAATTTTACATTTATTAATTTTAATTAAATTTCTTTGCATTATTTCTTGTTTATAAAAAACCAATGATCAGCTTAATGCTGACTTTTTTATATTAATTCTATATTTTATTATTATTCCGGTTGTCTAATCTGGTTCCTAAGAATTATTATTAAAAAATCTTTAGTTTCTTATCATTAACTTTAATTAATTACATGATTCCTGTCGAAAAACGATGATAAAAACTATTTGAGAATTATGAGAATGATTTTAGTAAAGTCGATTATGTTAAGATTCAGAACGAGGAATTGGATTAGTGTGAATTGTACTCAAGGTTAAAAACTATTTCATCATGTTCTTATGAATAATACTCGAAGCACATGTTTAAGTAAATGACTTTATAGCTTTAGAAAACTATAGTTTATTTTGATAACCTTTTTGAAATGGTTTTTGACATATTCAATGAACTTTCAGTTAAAGAAGCTTCTAGCTATTGATGCTTATCTTGCCGAAGAGTTTTAAGTTTAGAGATACTAGCTGTATAGTTTGTGAAACACTGCTTTTAATCCTAATTCATAATACTAATCGACTTTAGTCAAACTCATTCTCATACATATATATTTTTTTATATCCTATATTTTTTATAAAACAAAAAAAGAAAGTTATGTGATATTTGTAATGAAAAGGAAAGAAAATGTTATAAGTGGCCTAATAAGTAGAACGAATCATTATAAGGACAGTGCACATCTCCATTAAACTTATTGATTGCTTTAAAATTGGTGAATTTGATTTAGAGTCTTGAAGACCTTGTTTTGAAATGTAGAATATAAATTCTAGATCTTTGTATCCTTAAAACTGAACGTCAAGTTTAAAAATATTTCCGATTCTTCAATGTTAAGTTTCTATAATTGAAACTTAATTCAAGATCAAATTCAAACATTTCTATCAATAAACAGTAAGATTACATGATTTATATTTGTAAACAATCTTCATTCAAACTGATAAATTTGTTTACAATTAAATATTGCACTACAAACTCATTTTTATCAGATAATGACATCATGACTGTTTTGTTGACTCTAAAACTACATCCACTTTTATTCAATCAACTCTCTATGACCACTAAATCAAGATATCATGAACTTGTATAGCTTTAAGCTTATCTGCAATGACCTATTTGATACTGGAGAGTATTTAAATGAAAAAACTGCGCTTTAAGTCAAATAAACAGATGAATTTTTATTCTTATACAGTAATTTTTTGATGAAACTTTAATAGTAGCGATTTGAATCCTTTTTCCTAACAATCAGAAACATTAGTGATTATTATAAGGTCAATTTTACTTCAAGACGAATTTATGAGCGACACAAGATCGATGCATCAACAGTTGCGATACAATTTTTGTCTTAATTGGTTGTATTTTTATGGTTGTGTGACTGTTGCGCAACATACGACTAAATTTCAACTGTTGTGCAACATAAAAATTGATTATGTTTGTCACAAAACAGTTGTATGACTCTCGCGCAACATTTGTTGTGTGACAGTTGCGCAACATTAAGTGACATCTTCTATTTAATCAGTTGAATATGATTTCAAACTCATAAGTTCATTTGAAGCACAACTGTTGCATGCAATATAATCCGTGATACACATATTAATAGAACATGCAACAGTTGCTTGAAATATTATGTCACAGCTAATTTCCAAAAACTTGTGTCGCTCAACAAATTATTAAATGAACTTGAAACATGGCAAATTAATTGTTTTTATCTTTTAAAACGAAGAAAAAACGAGCTTATTTGCTTTTCTTTTTGACTTATTGAGATCAAATAAATGTAAATGTTTTAAATTTTTTATCTAATAAATTATTACAAAAGAAATGATGAAACTTAGATAGTCTTAAACATTTTGTATTGACTTTTTTTTCTCACTTTTTAAGGATAAATTATAAAGAGGCAAAAGAGTTTCGCACATGATTGAAGACAAAAATATATTAAAATTAAGCTCATTCTTGGAAGTGAAGTTTGGTGGAAATGATTTGATAGTTTAGATCAGTTTCTGAGTTTTACTAAAACTTAAACGTTCAAATTAATGCATTCGACCATTAATAGCATTTTTCTATGATTTTAGATATCCAGTATCCTCAAAATTCCAATATTTTCTTTAATAAAAGAAAATTCATCAAATTTATTTCATTTCCACCTTTAGAAACTTCATATCTTTCTTAGGCTCATCATCTAAAGTGAATTTCACTTTTGCTTCTCTTTTCATTAATTAATTAAGAATTGTTTCTTTATAAAATATCATTACAATTAAAGTAGTATGCAGTCATTATTCATTTTTTTAGTAGTAATCTATCCACAACATTCGTATTCATTTTTTTGGTGATTCGTAAGGAAAATTATGTTTTTCATTATCAATTACAGGAACTGAAGATTAATGGATGTTGTTGAGTATGGTTTAAGTTGATATAAGGTCAAGATAGATAGTCGTTTCAGGCTTATTAAGTTTCATAGTAGTCAAATTGAAATTGAACTGATTCCGTTCAACCAAACTTGTAGAATCTTGAATTCATTAAACTTCTCCAAATCCATTTACAAATTAAGACTTTAAATCTCAACAAATCCAATACACTCAATCAAAATTCATCAATCTTCAACTTCTGAGTCATACTTTATAATCCTAATTGCACATTAATATTATATTTTGAATATTTTCCTTCCACATTATCTCGTCCATACACAAAAGTCGCGTGTAATGCTCACTTAAAACCATCAAAGTGCAATAAACTTATTTCGTACGTCTTCTGTCCATTCATCCATTCCTTCTTTTTATCTCACATATCGTCAATGAAAATGCTTCTTCATTTTCAGACAAAATGACTTGTTTAAACATCTTCGGTCAATGATATTTCTTTCACATCAAATCGTAATTTTGATGAGTTTTTAATCATTCCAGTTGGTAATAAATCTTTAATTTGGCCTGCATTTTCGAGTGTCTCCCAGAGATCTTCCTTTTCTGCTTTCATTGGAGGTGGGGAATCGTCTGAAACTGGTGAGAATTCATATTCTATACTTGATGTGGAGGCAATCTCTTTCTTGATTTTGAACTTTGGTTCTTCCTCTTCATCATTCTCGTCCAGCTTCAATTTTGACTTTCTAAAATTAAAATGAGAAGATTGTTTAAGGATCGGATTTAAGTTAAAAGCAACCAACAATTAAGATCTCAGATTATATCTACACCTAAGAATCGAACCCTAATACTATACCTTTTCTTTTTCATCTTCATCGGTGCACAACCTCGTTTCTGAATCTCTCTACAAGAAACGCTACAATTATGAATAGAAGAACAAAAGTAAATCCACAAAACTTACAGCATTAATTTCTTATTTAATATAGGCTTTGGTGCCAATGTAATCTTTCCAGGCTCTTCTGGATGTTCACCCCAATCATTTCCTTCTAGCCAGTTTTGGTATTTATCTGGTTGGAACCTTCTTACAAAACATTCCATTGATATCTTTACCATATCTAAAATAAAGAATAAATGTTTATTATTTTGTTCTTATTGGAATTGCTTACAATTTCGAAACTGATTAGATTGCAAGAATTCAAAGGAATGCAATTAAGTTTTTAAAGCTGACTTATCATTTTTGGATTCATGCAACTTGCTTTAGAGTTGAATTAAGATTTCAATAAAGAAATCAAAAGTCAATTGCTGTTCTGGATAACATTGAAATTAAAAACTCAAGATCTAATGGAAAAGTACAAACAAAATCCAAAGACAACATCCAAAACTCTTCAAACCTTAAAGCAACACAATAAGATCAAACCCTCACCTTTTCTGCAATGACAATGAATTGCTCTCTTTCCATATTCAATCCATCTTTCAGATGCAAAATTAGTACTTTCAGCACAGTTAAAGCCGTGATTAAAGCCAGCATGATATCCAAACGGGAAAGTTATCATGATCTCGCCTGGCTCTTGTGTGATCTTATTGAACGGAATATTGTGTTGTCTCAATACTTGTGGACTGATTAAAGTCATTTTGTGTCGCAAGAAAGCTGGACATTCTGCATGATTCTCACGGAACATTGAGTTGGCAAGCTTTTCAAATCTGCGACCCTCTGAAGGTGGTATTGAATACCATGTTTTTGGTGCTCCTAAAATAAGAATCATGTTCATTATAAATGTAATTAATGAGGCAAATGATGCTTACCGAAGTGTAGATAATTAATGGAGTATAGTTCCATATCTTCTGTGTGCCATGCAAAGGTTGTCTTCCACATCCCAAAATACAAGTACGCTGTATTCACACCAGATATAGCTTTATGATAGTCCTTAACAATATAATCTAATATTGTCCCTAAACGATTGATGTTACAGACATCAACGTCTTCATCAGTTATACTTCCACTAACGTCAGCACCTGTAAAACAAGAAATACGAGTTGATAACTATTTCTTATGAATTAGACTCACGTGTAGCATTTGTTTTTGTTTACGTTCATTAGTTTTAATAAGCATGAGACTTATTTTTATTTTCATTCATTCATTCACACGACTTACCATAAATAGGTTGAATGTAAGTAACATTTTTCCAAAATTTCCTCTCCAAATCTTCATAATCGAAATATTTTGGCGTTGCATACCGCTCCGAATTGGCTTTATTGTAAAAATCTTTGACAGTCATTGGTCTCTTTTGTACATTAAATTGCTGATAAAATCCTTGCTTTCCCGTGACAAATTGAAGAATTGGACTCTTAATTGTAATGTCAATATCGTCTATATTGTAGCCATTTTTTCGTGGTACCCATTCTGGTGGCGGTATTATCTAATCCGGCATAATTTAAATTGTAAACTTAACTTTCAAAGTGGGTGTAAATTAATGAAAATATTTACCTTTGCAAGACCAGCTTTATGAGCTCCACATTTTTCCATGTACGAAATGTATTCAGAAAAATTTTTAAATTCAGCATAGCTTGGTCGAAAGACCATAATCCGAGGAATATCCATAATTATGTTTTATTAAAAAATAATCACATCAATAGACTTAAAAGCTAGTTTTTATCTTCACTTATATCAGAAATTCTTTTTCTTATACGATTGCTGAAGAAAATCACGTAAACATTTAAACAGGTCCGCATTTAGGTTGGATAAAATTTGGGTATATTTGGTGATTTGAATTGTTGAGTTGATGATTATACTAAGTTTTTCATTTTATAGCTATCAGATGAGTTTGAAGTAATATAAGATGAAGTTGAAGATTTTTATACAATTTATCCTAATTACATCTCTAGTCACAAATCGTCGAATTAATGGCAATAATGAAAAGAAAAGTGTAAACTTTCAATTTTTTTTGGTTTACGTTCATTAACATACATTTAAACTGATTTTATTAGAATCCTTATGATAGATTCTTCCTGTTTAAATGAAATCTACATTGACTAATAGTTACTTTCAGAAGAAAACAATCCATTTTCACATTCAGTAGTTTTCACATGGAAACTCGTATAATCAAAATGACGCGAAACCTTTTGAATGATTTACTTGAATTTAGATTGATGAATAAATTTTTTGAAAGATTTTATAAAATTCTGTATATCTAGCTTTTAATTTTACTAAGTTTGAAGGTTTTAAAAATTATTTTAGAGTATTTTAAAGTTTGTTTCAAATTGTTTACCGGGAATTTCAAATATTTTTGTCGGTATTACAACGGATTATTTAATATTTTAACTGTGTTCAATGACTAGACACGTGACTAGCTGTTAAAACTTTGATCTTTAATTCAAAAGACTTTGTCAAGCGTTAGACAGTTTTGTTGATATCTGCGAAAGATTCCAAAGACTATGTAAGAGCAATCTTAACACAGAACAACACATGGGATCTTCGATTTGATTAGATTCAATTTAAACTGTATTCTTCTGAGTCAAAACACATATTTTAATCAGGTAAAAGCTTGTCAGCTAGACATTCGGATAGAGAATTTGCACAAAATGAGTGACAAAGCCAGCAACAAAGTCGAAATCTGTTAAAATCAAAGCTCCACATTGTAGCTATAACTGTGTATACTAATGTAAAACAAGTCTGGTTCGATAGGAATCGAACCCACGACCTCAAAAGAGGCAATCTCTGACCACTCGATTAGAGATCCCTGCCACTCGGCCATCGAGGGTACTTATCTTACTTTGGGTATACACATACAACTAGTTCAACGTAAGCCCTATGCTTAGGTCTATCTACTACAGATATGCTCTTCGAGCCATATCCACACACATTGCTGACCAAATTCATGATTCATGATCTGAAGGTAAGTTGCTCTTAGTATTTGTTCTCTGAGATAAACTAGCTTTCTTAATACTCTTCCAATCTCTAAGATTGAATAATTTGAGATTTCAGTAGATTAACTAGAGTACCAAACTTTTGATTCGTCCGAAATAACACCAAAAACTACTCTAAAAGAAAGCAGGATACAAATTTTTAAAAATAACACAATACCCAATAAATTAAAATAAATTCCGCATTATTTTTTATGAACAAATTGTTTATTTAATTTTTCGATAAATTCATCATAACATTTAAGCATTATTTACGATGATATGAAAATGTTTTCTCTTTTAATGATTTTAAAAAAAATATTTAAATATATTTTAATCGTTAACTTTATTTTTTTTTTATAATGTTTTATGTACAAAAATTTTTCTCATTTCTTTTAATTCATACGAAAAAAAAAGTTTCTAATTTATTTTCGACTTAATCCTAGGTTTATAAAATGACACTTCAGACATTTTTTTATGTAGTTTATTTCATAAAAACACTGTTATTTCTTCTTTTGGAATGCATTGTGGATTTAAGAAAAGTTTAATGGGAATAGAGACAGTGGGTAAAGGATGGGGAGCAATGATATATTTAACTACAGCTACAAATAAATAAAGCCCTTAGATTAACTGATTACTTCTCGTTAGTTTTTATACATTTCCCTCTAAAGCAAATCTCTCCCGTCACTTTTTGACTCGTACTCGTCTTTATTTGCTTCTTCTCTTTTGTGATTTTTGGCTTTGATGTTTCAACTTCGATCGTTGAGAATGTTGTTGGTGGTAATGTTGTTGTTGTGAGTGGTTCCTCTGTTGTTGGAATTTGTGTAGTTGTAGTGCTGTCTCTCTCAAGTTTGTCATCAGCTTCTTCCATATTTACAGCATCATCAGTGTCCTCTTCTGAACTTAAGAATTCAACAAATGCTTTGCGTGCATCATCAAACATGCTTGCGTTGCTGTCATCAACGACTGTCTGTTCAGGCAAAATTGTTGTCTCAACAATTGCTGGTTTTACTGTCGTTGTTTCTGCTTCAGTAATTTTTGGTGAAATTGTAGTTGTAATTGCCGGTTCTTCAATAATTTTAGGTTTCTCTCCTTCTACTTTATCATTATCTGCGACTGCATTGTATAAATGCTTTCCAATGTTTTGTGTTTCTGCTGTCTCAAATCCATCAGCTGGACGAACTTTGACTCTCTTCCAAGTACCACGACGTGGACCAGACTTCTTATCGAGTTTTGATAATTTCTTTTCACTCTTTGTATCCCTCTCAATATCCTCCATGACATCTTTCATGAGCTTATCAAGACTTGTGTCTAAATCACTGTTGGATAGAATTTAAATAATAAGTAAAGAGTATTAATAAGAAAAAGTTTTGAGCTTCTTACTCGTCAATCTTTGTTCTTTTTGCCAAATCATCTTCTCGTTCGGTCGTTGATACTAAATTCAAGGATTCATCGTCAAACTCGACTGGCTTTGATGGCAAGACGCTGGCAGAGACGTTGACTAAATATGTTTCCTAAAGAGATTTTGAGATTATTTTATTAGAACAAAAGAGCTGATTCAGCAAAACAGCTTAATAACGCTGAATTCAGACAGTGTTGCTTAAAATTCATAATTGAGCAAAACTGCTAAATAAGGCTGAATTAAGACATTAGAGCTGAATAATGCTGAATGAAGACATTAGAGCTTAATAGCGCTGAATTCAACATAACAGCTGAATAACGCTGAACACAGAAAAAAATAGCTTAATAATTTAAAATAGTGTTGAATTCAGCATAACAGCTGAATATACCCACAATAAACTTCATAAGCTTACATTTTCGGCATTTGGATTTGCTGTCACGATTTCTTGATTGTCATCGACTTCTGGATTGTTAAAAGCCTTTGATTTCTCTTCATCAATTGGTTGGAATGAGTTTTGGTTGAATCTCGACGACCATTGACTCTCTTGAGTATCTAATCGGAAGCGTTGTGTATTTTCACGAATACGGAATCGTGGCTGTGTGTAAAAGAAAAGGAAATAAATTTCAGCATTAAATTGCAAAGCATAAATTCTCATCATACTCTGTTATCTTCATAGTTGTTCTCATAATTTGCTTGCCCACGTTCACGATTATTAACATTTCTGCTGGCATATGTAGGTCGAGTTCTTACAGCACTACTACGTCTTGTAGTTTCTGGAACTTCCGTTGTTGTTGTTGTTGGTCGCGTACGAGTTCTGACCTTCTTAACCACTACAACATTCTCCTTTCTTCCTCGTTGCTCTTTGTTTCGGGACTGGAATGAGGAATGTGAGATGAGAAATTTAATATCATTAATTATTTTATGTTTTGCACCAGCAAATGCTACAATATTGGTCCATAACGTAGAAAATTTATTGGTTTTATACTCTATATAGTTTGTATTTTAAACGACTTAGAAGATAATTGAAATTATGAAGAAACATTTTTTTTTCTCATTGCAGAAGATGATTTAGGGATGTTGCACAGAACTTTGCTGTAAATTGAAAGCTCTTCTTTAATTATTAATTATATTGGAGCTTTATCTTTTTAATTTATAAGGGGCCGTTCACTTATGACGTCCAGGGGGGGGGGGGGGGTCAACAAAAAAAGAACAATAGAAATTCCTGGAAATCCATTGTTCATTTTGAGAAGTAACCGTTAATTACGGACGTCATAAGTGAACGATCCCTAAGAACTGCTGAGTTTAATGCTGCAATTTTCAATTTTGTGCCTTTTAAAAAATGAATTTATATGAAATTTTATTATCAAGGCACAACCTAGTAAACCTAGACAAGCAAACTTACTCCATAAGATTCCGTAGCATCAGTTTGTGGCTCTGAAGTTGTTGTGGTATAAAGTCTTCGTCTTGGGAAGCTAGTTCTTCTGGTCACTGGTGATTCAGTTTCAACAGGTGCTTCAGTTGTTGTTGTGGTCGATTCTGTCGTGGATGGAACTAAGGAGAAAGAATTTTCTTCATATTCATGTGCATCTTTAACAATTTCTGTGGCTTGTGTTGTTGGTAATTCTTGTGTCTTTCCATTATAAAATGAGTCAGTGTTTCGATTGAAATTGAAATTTCCTTTAAGTCTATGTGAGACAGTTTTGTGTTGTGGAATTGCGAATTCTTGATCATTTGCTGAATATTTATTGCTCTTTATATATTTAAATGATTGTATTGTTGTTGGTGATGTTGGTGGAATGGTTGTTGACGTTGTTGAGGATGTTGTTTCAATTGTATTTTCATAATATAATGGATTGTCAGGTGTGTATTGAGGTTCAATGTTATAATTTTCATTATTATTACCACCTAACGGAATCACTTCAATGCTTTCAATTGGTCCATTATAATCATTAATGACTTGTTCTTCGACTTGAGCTTCTGGTTGGATATGAATAGACTCAACAATACGTTCAGTAGCTGGGAATGAATCAATAACCGGTGGACGGACTGATGATGGATAATTTTGGTTCAAAACATCACGTTGATATGCAATATTGTTCTCTTCCTTATTCTGAACTGGTCGACGATTTCTGGTACGGAACTTTGATTGATCATCTGATGTAATATTATATTTAATCTTTGATGATCTAACCGGTGTTGATCTTGATGGGAAAGTAGCTTCCGTTGCTGATACAATATTTCTTGAACTGTATGTCGATGGTGGACGTCTTCCACGTGTACTTTGCTTCCTCTCATAATTTGGTTCAGCTGTTGAGGCAACAGTTCTATAAGTTGATTGTGAGACAGGTCTACGACCTCTTGACTGTGTTGGTCTACGTGTTGTTGTGGACACTGTCGTTGGAACAGCAGTTGTTGTGGTTACTTCCTCATCTGTAATATTATTAGCTAGCATCCATTTGTCATCCATAAGTGAGTTAATCAAACCTGGCAATTGTGCACTTATTGGAGGCAATTCAGATGGTAAATTATATTGTGGAGATTCCGTTGCCGGAATTGGTTCTTGTGAGAAGAAGTCATGATGTTTGATATTCTGTATATGTCCATCACCATTTTTATATTTATGTCTATTCAGTTCGTCAATGTCAACTAAATAGTTTTGTTGTGTGGGTCGGGGTGTTGAACGGAATTCAGTGAAGTAGTCACTACCGTGTGTTTGTCTAAATGTGTCTGTATTTTCAATTATGGATACTGTTGGGGTATATTCAAATGACGGTGTGGGATGTGGAGTTGGTTGGAATGAAAAATCAATGCTCTTATGTCTCTTGTCATCAATTATGACTGTATGTTCCTTTGTCGTTGTTGGCCTTTGAGTTGTCGATGTTGTTGTGGTTTGCTTAATTGTTGTAGATTTTGTAGTTTTTGGTTTCTTTGTAGCTATTGTTGTTGTGACTGAATCAAAATTAAATTCTGGAATTGGCTTAAAATTGAAATCCTTTTTAGGCTTCTGCTGTTTCGATTCAAAGTCATATTCAAATGATGTCGAGATTGATGGTTTAGCACGATTAACTTTAAAGTATTCTTCATTGACTGTTTTATATTCATCGGGTTCTGAGAATGTTGGACGTACTGAAGATGTGAAATAAGCTGTTCTTGTATTCTCATATTCATCATATTTTGATCTTGTCACAGTTGGTGTACGAATCGTTGTTGGTGTTAATGTTGAATGATATTCTTGAACGAGACTTGCTTTAACTTTCGTCAAAGGTGTACTGGGTGTAATGCTACTATGAATGAACGTCGGTTTTGGTGTTGTTTTTGGAATATTATTAATTTTTGGCTGTTGTGTTGTTGGCGGCGATAAAGTTGGGAATGTAAACTCATTGCTAAATAATTGCACATTGCCACTTGGTCCGAAATGGAAACCTGAGGTTAATTTAACTGTCTGTGTGTTCTTTTTTGGGGTCTCATTAAGAATATTGTTATTATTATTGTTGTTATTATTATTATTGGTATTAAAGTTACTATTGACATTACGATTAATATTATTAAGATTTGTTGAGATTAATTGAGGTTGTTTAGTATAATAACTATCAGGAGTAAATCCATTACTTTCATTATTCTCGATACTATTTGGTTGATTCACAACGACTGATCCGACATGTGGTGCTGGCAATGGAATCTTTGAGAATCCTGGGGGTGTCTTATAGCTCAATGGGGCAACAAAGAATGGCAATTGATCAATTTTCCTCTCATTTCTAGTTCCATCAATGCTTGACAAGTATGGCAATTCAAATTTAGAATATCCATTTGGTGGTGACATTCCCGATGGTCCAATAAACACTTTTGGTGAGCGTTCATTAATCGAGTCCATAACATCAATTGTATTTGAACTTCTTAATGTACTCAAAACATCTGTTTCGGTTGCCTTTCCTTTAACTTTATCATAAGCAACAAACATTGATAATGGTGGCTGATGTGGCTTCAATTTCGATGAAGTATCAAATGGCGTTGTCAATTTATAGCTTACAGTAGCTGGTGCAATTGTTGGACGTCTTGTAGTTGTTGTAACTACTTGCTTCTTTTGGAAATCATTTACGTCATTTTGTGAATAAAAGTCATTGATCAATGAAGCGCTTGGTGGCTGGTTCAAAATATTGAATCGACTCTGCTTGTCATTTCCGAATATTGACTGTGTTTGTTGTTGCTGCTGCTGTTGATTTTGTTGATAAAGTGAGTCGAATGGAACATAGAGCAATTGAACAGGTTGTTCACTTTCTTGTTGCTGTTGAGTTTGTGGAACTTGTTGGAATGGTGGAGGAGTTGGTAATTTTTGGAAATGAGGAACACGAGATGGACCGGCTTGAACGAAATTTTGGAAAGCTGGAACTGGTTGATGTTGAGTAAAGGTTTGTTGAGATTTAGGAATTGGTTGGGATTGATAATGATGAACTTGTGGGGTACGTTGGATTTCCTGCATAAATTGGTATTGAGGTGGATTTTGAATGAGCTGTTCAGCAACAGGCTTATTGCCAAAAGAACCACCAAAATTTTGAACAGTTCTTTGTTTTTGTTGAGGTGGAATTCCGGGATTTAAAAATTGGAATTGAGGTGGAGAATTTTGAATGAAACTATTAATTTCAGATGGTGCAGCTGAAGGATGTGCAGGATGGGCTGGATGTGATTGTTGTAAATTAAAACGATTGTTTAATGGTTCTGTAAAGAATTGAAATTGTGTCTGAGCTGCGGGCACTAAATCATCTCCGAATGTAATGGATTTTCCGCTTTTCACATCCTGCGTTATTGGCACCCAATCGTTAATCGTCTGTACATTTGATGTAAGTTGTCGTGACCATCGCTCTCCTGATGCGATATGGCATATAAACACGAATGTTGCAAGAGTAAGTTGTTTCTTGAGGAATCTCATTCTGTAAATAAGAGGAGAAAATGACATCAGTTCCATAATAAAAATTTGTAAGCATATAAAATTAAACATATTGATATGAATCCGTGCGTGGCTGGTAGAAATATTAAGGTATTTAAGTATCATAATAAACCTGATCAACTTTCACCCAATCGATTGCCATTCAATGCTGTGGAATCGATAAAGTTTTTCTTCTGCTTTGCTTTTGTTTTTCTTTTACATTCATTGGAATGGATTGGAATATTAAGCTGATAAAACACGTGTGGTTTGTCGTTTATGAACTTTGGCTTGTAGCTTTTGGGATTGTTGCCTTATTACTGCTTGTAAAAATTTAAAAATTCCTATTCTTTTATCGACGTTAACTACATACAACTTAATCACACTCATGTGTTCACACTTGATTGCCCAAAAAAAACTTCATTAATTCCGGTCCATAAAGCTCATAATCATAACTTGATTGTCTAAAGAGAATGTATTTTGTAAAGACAATTAATCAAACATTTTATGCCTCATTCAATCGTAACAATTACCACACCTCAACCACCAACGGACTTTAGATGAGAAATTCTCTTGTAACCTTTTAAAGCCAAAAGAGATGAAGAAATGGAAAACAAAAGGCAACAAGTGAATTTAACAAATTAATTTCATGTCGAAACAAAGTTGCACATAAAAAATTAAGATCAGAGTTTTGTGATAATTTGACTTAATTAACGATTTTGTTACTTGTTAATTTACTCGACTTCCTGCTCTAATGACTTTTGGACGAGATGTTATGTGGTTTAGAGATTCTCATGAAAATAAATCGAGTCAAACCACAAACATGAAAATTAATCTTCAAAAGTTCAGATTAAAAAGTTCCATTAATCTCGTATTTTTATGGACGGAAATCTCTCAAATGAAAGCAAGAGTCATTTTTTAATGCAGCATATAGGAATGCATCATTAATTCATCGAAAAAACTACAAGAAAATTGTGCGTTCACAAGTTCAACCTTTGCTCGGCTTTAATCATTGATTGCTTGGTGTAATGTTAAAATATTGAGCAAGGCTTGAAGACGGAGCGAGTTTCTAGTTCGAGGAATTTTTTTTTTCAAAGCTAAGGCAAGAATCTTTTCAATCTAAGCTGGGATTAGTGCTTTCGATTCGCGTATACGTCGAATTTCTGAATAGTTTCAATGTATCCACAAATCGTTTGAGATGGCTGGACATGTCTTTAGACGTCCAGAAGATGCCCCAGTACTAAGAGTGACTGTTGCAGACTTTGTAGATGGCGAGAAATCTAGAGAATGTGGATGTGGATGATTGGATGTGTTGATAAGGACGCTAGTCCTTAATATCCCGAACTAGCAGAAACTCTCGAAGGATAAAGCTGTCTTTAGACGATCTCTGATTGGGCAATGGACCCACGTGCACCCCAGCCAAGGAAGTAAGTAAGGATCCAAAAACTCAAGCAACTTAAAGTCAAAGAAAGATTGTTTCTGATCCCTAAAGACAAGCCTGCATAACCCTTAATGGCTACAAGCTCTAAGTAGAGCTTAGTCTAGCTCCTAAATTGTAAACAGTATCTACAACTCTACTTATATACTTAAACAACATTATCAATCATAAATACTCCTTAAAAGCATAAAATGCCCAAAAATCCTCTTCTTTTTAAGCCACCCGCACTTAAAAAACTTTTCAAATTATCCAAGAAGTTGTAAATAATCTCCATACACAGTCAATTATCTGTAATCTGTTGTGTGTGCATAAAAAGTGCATATATGGTAAATTCATCATATTAAATCAGCTTTCTCTGCTGTTCAGTAAGCTAAAAATAAAAATTCAAATGTTTGCGTGTGCAGCAAATTATGTTTATAATAATTTATTAGAGAATCAAATAATCTGAACACATGTGTGTATTTATTTATCTTAATTATGTGCATTTTTATGTTCATAAAGATGTGAAATTTTATTATTTCATGGCACATATTTTTTGATGGAGCATAAAATAATTTTATTTATTGTGCTATGCAATATTCATAACTTTATTCGCAATATGTACTTATGAGTCAAGTTCAGTTGATTTAAATTATATCATAAGTTCGGCGTTTCTTAAACAACATTCAACAATCACGTTTGGCACTCGAATCGACTTTCTCATGATTAATTTTTTGCAAATTAATTTAAATACAAGAAAAATTTCACCGTGGCCTAGAGAAGTCAATTGATCAATACAAAAATAATAACAAAATGTATCGATTTATTCACCTGCAGACCTCCCGGCTATAAATATATGCTGAGCTTTCCTTTATGCCTTATTTTTTTCAATTTTTATGTGAGATCTCCTTTACAATGCAGTCGATTCGGTTTAAATTGTCGTAATTATTTGAATTATTAATTTATGCATATCATATTTTTATTATCTGCAATCTTTATTCATTGGTACACAATTAATGTGTTAAAAAAGAAATTTCTTTAAACGCGTTTATGACGAAAAATTACACTTTTACTTTCAAATTCGACAATTTTGTATCGTTTTCGTTGAGGTTGATGACTTTTGGGTTTTTAATGAAATGATTTTTTTTTTGAGAATGTTGAAGGCTTCTGTGGGTTGATTTGTAAATGATTTTCAATCAAAAAATGAAATTTTTTTGTGTCCAGCGTTAAACATGTGGATATGGCTCATATAGAATATCTGTAGGAGATAGACCTGAGCATAGGGCTCGCATTGAACTGGTTATATGTGTATGACTGATAGCCGAAGTGAGATAAGCACCTCGGTAGCAGAGTGGTAGGGATCTCTGATCGAGTGGTCCAGAGATCGCCTCTTTTGATATAGCAAATATAGGGAGATCTACAAAGCACACTCAACCATTTGTTCTGGATAGACTCGTAGTAGCCAAGCTTGAAATATTAAGCTTCAAAACCCATTGCTTTACCACTTGCTCACATTAGACTTCTGTAAATTTTGCTAGAATTTCATTAAGATCGAAAAATCTGTTCAAAAGGTATATAAACGTGAACAAAGAATTTAACCTTAGGACAAAAGAGCTTGAATACGTGATTGTTATTCTAAATTTGAAAGTAATATTTAAGAAAAAGGCTAATAGACCTTTAAGAAACCCACGAATAATTGAAGAACTCTTTGATTTCATTTTTATCGTGGGAATTCTAAATTCAAGAAGTTAAGGTAGTTCTTGGAAGGATTGTATGAGTTGTGAGTTTTGATATTGTTGATCAATGGCTAGATGAGATAGAAACTCAAAATTATAAATAGATACTTAATAGCACATCTCAAAAGCTCATTTTGACATGCTTACAATATATTTTGAAATATTCATACTACGCAGCCTTTTGCAACTGGAAATATCTCACTCAACTATCAATTAACCTCAAAATTTAATGACAATTTCGTCAAGTGTTTTCTAATAAATTACTATTCCATACAACTTGATGTCAAAACCTAATTAATAACACATTTCCATTCAATATTTTCACAAAGTAAAGACCTTGACTTAAAAAAATAAACAAAACAGCACCACGAGTCCCACGATTTGATAAATTATAATTTAATTCTCTCATGTGCAAACTTATGAAGATGGTGATGATGATGGCTGTAATAATGTAGCAGTTAAAAGGCATGTAATGACTCAATTACATTATTACACTCTACCCAACAAAAAATGTGTGTTAAAAAATTATTTAAGGCATCAAATAAATAAACAAACAATGGTAATAATATGCCAAGCACATGCACATTAATGGATATGGCAATATAATCATAAACACCATGTGGATACCATTGAAGATGAAATATTTTATTGTAATGTGTGAAATTTGAAATTTCAGTCGCATTTTCGTAATTGTGGATGTAAATATCAATTAATCATTAAAGTGTGGACCGTGCTGTGCGTGGCTTTTGTGCTGTCAAAATTTTGGCAATTAATTGAAAATAATTTGGTCTAATTCTTACAAATTTGAATCCTACTTCATATCAATCATATCACATAGGATTCACCATAATCTTAAATCAGTTTCTAATTACGATATGACCAAATTAAATGCTCCAAAAATTTCTTCTGTCGATTTACCACAAAATTTGCCCAAAGCTTGCACTTAACTTCAATTCCTCTCCATTCTTCATCTCATAAAATTCCACTCAACAATCTAATTCTTATTAAGTGTACCATAATTAATACAGAAAAAACTAGAAACTTAAACTTTTATGGGAAATTATCTTTCTTTTTTCCTTCATGGTGGTTTCTTTCTCTCAACATACAGCACAGCACACAATTGAGTGAAAGAAAAAGTGAAATAGAAGAAAAAGAACAAAAAAAATGAATTTTTTTGTAATAATCTATGAAATTGATCGCATTAGAGATTGTTAAACTTAAAAAGTTAATGCCGCTAATTTCAAGTTCATGCTTCATATAGTCGGTGTGGTTAAAAATGCATTACAATGAATTATAAGAATAACTACGAGTGTGAGTCGGCGAAAATGTAGATGAGATGAAAATATTTTTAATTGTTTATTCTTCACCTTCTTAGTTGTGTTGATTTTAAGTCGGTTTTGTTGCTGATTACGAGCTGATCTTTTGATTAATTATGGAAATATTAAGTATGAAGCTAGAAGAAAATATGCACCTGATAATAGCAGATTCAAATCTTGGTTTGAAGGTTTACACCTAAGCAAAGATTAATTTAAGTTTAAAATGCTGGCAGTTCAACTTTTGCCATCTTTTAAAACAATTATTTGCAGTTCTTATAGAAAACTTCATTAAGAAACCTAAATTATTAAAGAAAAACTTTTTGAGGTGGAGAAAACTTTTCCTGCCATTTTGTTTCAAAGATTTTTAAAATTTGAATTTTTTGAATACGTTAAAAAGTAAATTTACAAAGAAAACATCTTTTTTGGATATTCAACTAAAAATTAAATTCAAAATACCAAAAAAATACAAAACTTACAGCAAAATACAAATAAAACTCCCCACAACCGGCTTTATAAACCGTCAGTACCTAAAAAACAA